TCCAGTTTGACCAAAAAAAGGGTTATCAAAACACCTGCCATCTCTTTTTTTTTTTTTTTTTTTCCACTTTCTGCTCCAATATTTGGAAACACTTCACAAAGAGACATACCATGTACAGCACTACCAACCTGTCCATGACCTAAGTAGCTGCAGCAGGTGATGCAGAACTCGCATGGGACTGCCAGGCTCTCCCTGGCCCCGGGTGACCCGCTGCGCTGGCTGCTCCGTGCTGTCACCTTACTTCTAGACCATTGATTGGTCTCAATCAAAGCAAGGATATGAATTCCTGCCAAGCTCCCCACCGGATTGCCTCTGGCCACAGAGCACAGGCTCACGGGGAGGGCTGGGACCGAGTTCCCGGGCCAAGTCATTGAAGGGAAAAAACCTGACAATGGTAACAAAGCTTCCGCCGGTCAGGCCTCTCGCCTCTCGCAAAGGTGCTCACCAAATTGCAAAGAAAGGGCTCTGTTGGTTGCAGAGCTGGGCCTTTTTCTCGCACAAACACTGAATAATAGCTGAATAATCTCTCACTCTTTGAGCTGTCCTACTATTAATTACTCTGTGAAAACCAGGGAACCTAAATCCAACCACACATCTTCACAGTCTGCAAAGGGAAGGGTAGAAAATCAACTGCTAATGACACTTAAGATAACAATAAGGCCATAAAGCATATCTTTAGGGTGAAAAGAAAAAAAAAAAAACAAAAAAACAAAAAAAAAAAACCCAACAACCAAAAAAACGAGCAGTGATGTCTGCTGGGTTTAATACAGTTTTTTTCAAAGTTAACTTTGAGAGACCATCTGTTTTGTTCTGTGACACATTTATGTATTCAGTTTCTCTTTCCTAATTCATCCAATTCTGAAGCGAGCAGCATTAATGCCCTTGGACCTGTTTGGTGTCCTATTCTATCTGAACAGCATCAGATGATAGTTAGCAGGTGCCACTCCACAGCTTACACCACACCATATTGTACCACACAATTTTTTTGACAGTGGATATACCAGATAGCACAGATGGCTAATTGCAACATAACAATATTTAAAATTGTGGAAATAATTCTTAGAGTGAAGCAACCTTCAAGAGCTATTAAAATGTAATTGTGTAAGAACATTGTAACAAGTGACAGAAATATTTTGGCTTGGATTTGGGACAGAAGGATAGCCATTTTAATTTACAGACTACTTCCATTGATTTTTACTTTATTTGGGGTGAATAGTATAGGACAGATTTTCTATCGTAATTACAGAGACACTAAGATGAAACGCAAGCTAGTCCTTCTAAACAGAAAACTTGTAGGTGTTCTGAAATGCATCTGCACTGCTGATGTGCAAGCAATGAAGCATTGAGGTGTTTCTAGTTTCTCAAGAGCAGGAAGGCAAACCATGCACCGCTCGGAAAAATCACATAGTAAATTCACTGGGTTATAGCAGGTTGCTGCTTTCACCTGCTTAACTGCTTCTAAGGTGAACTACTTGCATTTCCATTTTCTTCCTTTCAGACAGTGGCAGAAAATGCCTAGCTGCAGGGAAAAGGACAGGTGCATCTTAACACGTAGCACAAACCCTTTGTGTCAAATGTTTCCCAGAAACACTGCACATAGCATGTCTTCAAAGAGTCTCCCACACACAAAGTGCATGTGATGCCCTGTTGGCACCTAACAAGGACATTTTTTTCCTACGCAACTAAAGAATTTATTTTGCTATTCAAACACAAACATACCTTAATTCATTGTGGTTTGAAAAGGGTTAGCTAGCAGGCCTAATAAGTATTGATTACATGAAGGAGAGCATTTGGCCAAGGTTTCCCACAATTTTACTTCAGTGGGCTCACCTAATTGATTTTCCTGAGTGTGTCAGAACTTCCCTGTACAACTGATTCCCGAATCAGCTTTTCATGAATATCAAAACACATAAGAAATACACTTTCTGGGCACATAAAACCTCAAGACTAGGCCCAAGCTCTTTCTAATATCAGCCTCCTCATGCTGGGCTCCTCACTGTTGTACCTCGCTGTTGTCAAATACCCTTTTCTTTGGTGGCAGTGGCCAGTATAATTTTTAAAGGAAGTTAGACAACAGCTTTTCCTGTTGTAATATTATTGTTTTATTTGCCTTTCTAGGGAAGGGAGCGTTCAGCTGCACATCTTGTGTATGGAGCTACAGTTTACTGGGTGGAATGTGCAACTCAGACTGCTTTGTAGGTGAATACAAAGTCCAGGAGACACCAGGACAAGAGGTACCTATTTGTAGGCATTCTCTCCTGTGATTTGTATGCTGAACTTCAGCTTTTGAACACAATATAAACAACCCAGAATGCTCTTCTCTAAGTTTTCAAGGCTGCTTATCTTTAAATGCGCTTACTTTTTTCTTCTTTTGGCAGAGAAAGCACTGTTGCTTTTTCAGGGGTTGTCTACTATAAAGTAATCCTCTACCAGTAAATACAAAGTCACAACTTTGTCAACGATGATAGCAAAGCCACGTCAACAAAATCAGCTATATTAGTAATGCAGCAGGTTTTTTCCCAGTATAATTGAGATTTCCCCACAGATTTCTGCTGCTTCATGTGTAAGAAATCACATTGCATTCCTGATTGACAGCTTTGCTGGCAAAAACCTCCTCTGGAGGAGAGACAAGCTGAAGTTAACAGAGCTGTATATTTAGTAGTATAGGACCAGAATTAGGTTTGGGTCTGTGCCACAAGTCTGGGCACCCCAGCTTCCAGATTTCCACACCAACTGCCTTCCAAAGAGGTTTATTCAAGTATATAGCAGCAAGGCAAGCCAGCTGGCCTGAGAAGCTGCATACCCTGGAGACTCTGGCGTGGAACAGCCCCTTAGCAGTGCTGCTCCATGACTGTGAGCCTGAGGAAACAGCCCAAGAGCTGGGGACCACAGAGGTCTGCAGCTCTTTGCAAGTGCTTTGACTCAGAAACCGGACCGATCCCATCTTGCCCTGGTTCTTCAGTTCAGGACAACCAGCCTCACGGGTCTGACAGCAAGGTTGATGAAAGGTTATTGGAGTTTCCAGATCCTCACAGTGGGTATGGGGTCCTGGTACCATGGCAGAAAAACACCAATTTTTTTCCCAATAGGCCAGGAACAGCAATGAAGGCCAGGAAGCCTTGAATTACCTGAGTTCTGAGCATTCTGCAAGGTAGATGTGACAATGATGATCTCCGGTAGTCTTTGTACACAAAGGCTCCCAGGAGCCTACCTGGTATTTGAGCAGCGTTACTTGAATCTAAGCTGTTTCTGCAAAACAGAACAACATGATCTGACAAATGAAAGATCTGCTATAAAATTTCCAGCCAGCTTTATTCCTTCCCAAGTTAGAAAGGAAATTCATCCTCTCAGCTGTCTTTTTATTTTTTCCGGAGTATTTCATGTTGCTCCTCCCATGTCAATTACTTTTAATAATACTCTTTTAAGTACACTTCCTGAAGGCCGCTTTACCATCGTTACTGCCAAAGAACCTTAGATCTGCTAGCATGAGACTAGCAAAACAAAAAGACAATTGTGGCCAAAAAGCTTACAGTCTAAATGGATTTTGGCTTGCTGTCTAGTTAGGTGAGATCTCTGACTAAGCTCCTACAACTTCCCCCTTCTCCCTACAAGCAGATCACTGAGAACCCAGGACACACATAGCAAATTTTAGTTTTCATTCTCCCTACTGTATTTTGCCACTGACACCCGTGGTGCCCAGAGACGACCACCCAGAGAGTGAATGACAGGACAGAACTGCCAGGCCAGTTCCAAAAGGCTCCAAAATGAAAGGTGCATTGCTTGTGTTCTGTGCCTGAAGGAGGACGAGCCCACGTGTGAGAGATGCGACAGCTCATGCACGGAGTGCAAGGGACCTGGGCCTCTCAACTGCACGATCTGCCCAGCCGGCGCGCAGCTCTACCTGGAGGAAAGCCGCTGCCTGCCCTGCTGCAGCGAGTCCGACCCGGCAGGCACCCCGGAGTGCTGTGACTGCAGCGAAACACAAGGTAGGACCGTACTGAAGAGCAGTAGGCAGTGCTGAAGGACTTTATGACTCACCAGGCTGACATCTAAAAATCAAAAAGGGGAAGGGAGCAAAAACGCGCTGCTGAGCTGCAGGCACACCAGTGTGTTTCTGCTGCTCCCTCAGTGGAACAGGGAAGGCTTTGGACGAATTACAGCAATTGCGGCCAACGTGGGAGATGGCACTTTCTTTCACTCACAGCTACTGCGTTAAACAGCCAGGCATTTCATAAACCAGGGACTGGGAAGCGTTTGCTTCAGTGGACAGACACCTGAATCATTGCATTTTAAGCTCATCATGTCAAAATGCGTTTGTGTGCCTGTTAGCTTTTCTGCTTATTTCTGACTATTTCTAATCTAATAAAGAAGCATAGCTATCCCAGCAATTTTGCTCACATCCTTATATCATCACAGCTACAAGAACACAGTTGTGGTACTGGGAGAGTAAGGTCAAATGAATTTGAAAATGTAGGCAGGGTTAAATGTTGTACCGGGTGTTTTAAGACAAGTACCCCCCACGAAACACACGCACACAAGCTCATTTAATCTTTTTTTTTTTTTTTTTTTTTAACTGCTGTTATAGATGACTGTGTATTACGGACCACTCTACCACCCAAGAGCAAAAGCAAAACTACTTTCTTTGTTATCACCTGCATTTTGCTCCTCCTTGTCATTGGAGCCATTGTATTCGTCTGGAGAAAGTCACGAGCCAAAACCCAGGCTGTCAATAGAGGTGGGTATGAGAAGCTGACAAATCACTCCAAACCCTTTCCTTCCTACGTGAGCAACTACCATGACAGTCCCAGTTACCAGGAAGATCAAGTGATTGAGTATAGAGATCAAGATAATGAAGACGATGATGAAGATGACATTGTATATATGGGCCAGGATGGCACAATCTATCGCAAATTTAGATACGGACTTTTGGAAGATGACGAGGAAGATGAGCTAGAATACGATGATGAAAGTTATTCATTTAGATAACTCTTCACTAATTTATGGATTTCCTGCTCTGTTGCTTTTCCTATTAAATTACAGCAATGTAGTTAAGTATGTTTAGTTACTTCTTAGCATGCTGAGCTCAAGATTTTAGCTAACAGTTATTGTGAGAGTAGAATGGTTTCTAAAAACATTTTTTCCTAAAGCTTTTAAATAGCACTCCAGATGTAGGCTGGTTAGGAGATTGTTTCTGTGCATTTGTGTGGAGAGTAAATCCTTTCCCCAACAGGTATGTGTGTGCATTACAATTAATACAAACTCTGCCTCAAACCATGCACACATACTTACCGAGAACCTTGCCAATCACTACCTGAAATGTGCAGACACAAAAAAGATGGGTGTATAATCTACCTGACGAATGCCACTAGGGTAGGACGCCAGTAGTTTACTACTTTGTGATTACAGTTACTCAGCAATTCTTAATAGAATAGGCAAGTTTGCTCACATTGCCCAGATTTTCTTTGTTAGTATCATCTGGTGCATCGGTCTTCCTCGAAGCTTACACGCTCCTCCTTATGATCTTATAGCATACCTCCCAGTGAAATTGTGCATCTATGACATCATGTTTTAAGTTTTCTGATTGTGACTGTGCTCCAGATAACTACATTTTAGTCACAGTTTGTATGAAACATAACTAAAACATTTTATATATCAACCTCTGATTAATATTTACTGTGGTGTTTGTCAAATAATCTTTCATTGTACACACAGACTTCTGAGTTTACCACAAAGGAAAATATGGTCTATAAGCACATCGACCAAAAAAAGGACGACTCCTATCTTTTTAACTACCTTCCCATACTACAGGGAAGTGGTTTAAACACAGAACATTTATTCAAGCAGCTTTTCCATTTCTGTTGTAAATGGCTCACGATGGTCAATGGCAAAGGGGATAATTAGCACTTACTTGGTAACGTTAACTTAAAGGAACACAGCAATGTGATTTTTTTATTATTATTATAGAAATATAACTTATCAGACTAAAGAAAAGGATGCTCTTTATTGCACTTTGTTGTGAAAGAATAAATTCTTTGCACAAAGCTCTCTTGAAAATGCAGTTATTTGTTACATTTCATTCACACTCAGAGTTCGTTTAGATTTCCAGTAAGAATCTGCTCTACAACTATAAATCAAAAGGATTTAGTGTCTACAAAGGAATTGTGTTAAAATACATTAATTGTTATGGCTCAATGTCTCAGTGAAATTGTTTGTATTAAGTATTCCTAAACCTCAGGACAGTTACATCTGTAGGTATAAGAAGTTTTACAGAGAGCTTTATTGCTTCCACTTTGAATTCTAACCTTTTAAGCATTCCACCTTCAGTAAGTGAGAGGAATTAAAAGTCTTGTGACTTCACAAAAGCCGAAACAAGGACTTACATTTCTCAGAGCTTATACAATAGCAAGGGGTACTTTGGAAAGATGCACGTTATCTGTCACATTAATGCAAGTTCTCCTGTGGTGAAGTTCTGAAAAAACAGAAGAGGGAAAGAAGAGTGAAAAATCAGTTCAAAAGGTCATACTGAAATAAAGAGAGTGTTATCCTGCTCTCCTAAAATTGTTTGGATAAACAATAGGCTTTAGTATTGTTGTTAACAGATTGTAACACCACTGTAAGAATTTGCTTGGACCCGAAATCTCTCCTCACATTTCAAAGGCTTAATCCTAGATGCACCAGAGCAGCCTGAAACCACTGAGATGCTTGTAGTGAGCAATTTGTTTATGGGCTCTCAGACTAACTTCACCATTATTCCACAAGAAGAGTTTCCTGCACTTAAAGTTAACCTGAGTGGTAAAAAAGCACCAACAGAAAATGCAAACAAGCACTCATTTTGGAAAAACTGTTCTTAAAAGAATTTTGTCTAAATTTGTGCGAGTCAAATTTGCATTTGTAAGTACACATCCAAAAACAAACCCAAAAACCCAAACAAAACAAAACCCAGTCCCAATTCTTCTCAAATGCCATTTTTTTCAGAGCTTCTTTGTTGTGGTTTGAGCACACCATTTCAACCACATTTTTAGTTATCAGCTGATATGCTTTCACTTATGATTCTTCCTGCTCTGCAGTCTGACACTTTCCTTCTGGCTTTCAGAGCTTGACACACGCAGTCAGGTATCCTGGATGTCAAAAGCAGAAGGGGACTTTCTTGTAGGGCTAAAGCTGCACAGGCAGAGACACCATTCATTAGAGGAGAAGCCATACTGGTAAACTCCCTCCACCCAAATAAGCAGTGGTTTTTGGGAGGGATTCAAATGACTGCTCAAACGATAAGCCTGTTCTTACAAGATGGCAGTGTGCATGCAGCAGCATGCATGATTATATGCTGCACGAGTAAGGTGACAAGGTGCGTGTCTTACAGAACAGCACATAATTGCCTTGAGGGTGAACCAGTCTTCTCAGAAGAACAGTAAATAATTGATGGATGAAGTTAGAAGGATATGATACAAGAAAGAGAACTGCATTCAAGGTTATTTTTTTATTTAAAGTGGAAGTTTCAAAATAATGGTCAAGAAGACCCAAACTTAGAGACCCCCAGAGACGTATCACTTCTACAGTGTTCACAATTAAAACTCCCTGCTAAGAGTCCGCAGGGAGACCAAGAAAAATAAAGTTCCACCGTTAATTGGCACAGGAAGAAATCATTCATGAGTCACTCGCACTTCTAAAGAAACTTTATGGAAAAGAACACAACCAAGGAAGACAGTAATAAATGTACAGAGAACACAGCACACAAAGGAAATACTGCTTTTCTGGATTATTTTACGGGCTTCTAGTGTCTCAGCCTTTTACACTCTGTTGCGAAAAAAAGCTGGAGAAATTCAAATCCACAGCTGTTCAATTCCACAAATCCTTAGTTGCCACAAAACCAATTCTTCTCCTTTCTCCTGCCTTCTCCTCCACCCACCATAGTGAGAAAGATGTACCAAAGGAAACAAGTGTCTTTCAAAAACAAAGATGCGATGGGATCTCTTCCATTCAACGGCTCCCTGAATAATTTTCTTTTTATCAGCCTCAAATTCTTGTTATCTTTGACAAATTTCTCTCACCCTCTTGATTCTGAAACTTTTTTCCATCTCATGGCCCTTCCTTCCCTCTGCACCTCTTTATTTCCTACTCTCATTCATCCATGGGGTTTCCAAAGTCCTTCAGTATTCACCAATTACTTGTATTTTCTCTACCCTTCTCCTAGGGAACTCTCCCTCTCAATACCCTTTCAATAGGGCAGGTCTTTCAAAAAGATCTCCTAAAAATCACATCTCCCACACAGTTTTACCACCCACTTACCTCTCATGTAATCAAATACTTTGATTTCAAAGGCAAGTGCAGGTTACTAGTGTTCTTTACCCTCTATTTCCATAAAGTGTATGTAAATAGGAAAAAAGGTTTTTCTTCCATGTATCTACCCTGAAGTTTTGCTAGAAAAGAGGCGGAGGAAAGGAGATTGTAGGAGTTACATTTCAAGTGTCTTGAGGCCCAAGACTCCTTCCTCTACAGGCTGTTCCCCGATCAGACCACATTTTCACAGTATACCACATATCTGCCTCTGGGTCTTGTATAACAGTTGCAGGACTTCTGGCTGAGGACTGACTGAAATTTCAAACCAAAGACAGGAATGAAAATACGATAAACTTAATTGCGTAAGTTACCACAGAAGCCTTTCAAATGGGTATTTTGAGGCATTTGGTTTTCTCACCAAAAATAACACGCTTTTTGAAATAAATATATATATTTGCATTAACAAATGTTTTCTTAGCAATCAAATTACTGATTGAAAAGTTCTGATTATCCATAAGTCGTCACTATTTTACCTAGGTCACCTGTGTTCATTTGAGTCCCTGTTGGGGTGGGGGCAGAAGAGGGGCAGAAGAATATCTTAGAGTAGACCAGAACTATAAATTTATCATCTCCCCTCAACCTCTTATGTGTACGTGTGGTTTCAAGCCTGAACTTTAAGGAATAACCAGACGTGCATCCTGAGGAGGAACAGATATTCTGACTCAGGGCTCAAAAGCACTTTTGAACAGGAAGACTTGTTTTTCCACTCTTTTTTCCCTAATTAGTACATAAACAGATTGAACAAAACAGAAGCACCAATTAACTCTTTGCATGACTTTGCAGGTTTATATTATACATTTAATTGAATAGTAAAAAGGGAAATAAGTATTTCATTCTTCTTTCTATTTTATTCTTCCTCATTTATATTATCTACTTATCATCTAGATAAGCACAATTTCTTTTTCAGGAAGAGTTCAGGTGCTACACTTCTCTAATAACCATTGCGCTAAATAGTTCTTGCTCCATTTTTTGTGTTCCTCCATCCTTGCTGACTGCATGTCATGTCTAAAATCCTCATCCAATTATTTTCTATATCCTTTCTCCTCCTTCTTGTCACCTAGCATCATCTTTATTTCCCAGGTGGTTTTTTTGATGCAAAAACCTAATTTCGTCACATAAGTATCTCATCATTAGTCAAAAGAAATAAAAAGCCAAATACAAATCTTACTGTATTCATTGCACTGAATTCTACCTTCTTTCACTGACAAATCTTAGCACTATGGAAAAGGAAGCTGATCATAACCTCAGAACTAACTGAAAAAAAATCTAAGCACTTTGCTACCCTGAGCCACAAAAAAGAAAGCAAAATGAAGTTCTCAGGCATTACAGAAGATGACCATTATATAAAGTCAGTACCTTAAGTTATGCAATTAATTATATATTAACTGACATTGTCAGCAATGTTTATAAAGTTCTAGTCCCCTTAAAAAACTAAATACGCCACAAAACTACCCAAACACTCCCCTGGAGCAACAGATAATGGAAGTTCCCTAGCCATCACACTAGCAAGGCAGGCCTTCTGTTTATGATTTCTCTTACATCTTTCTTCTCCCCTCAGAAAAATACAAGAAAATTAGGGGAAAAAATTAAAGCCCTATATAGACCATATTAATTACAAAATAAATTTGAAGGCAATTTGCATTTTTTTAATATCATTTCAGTTCTGGAATGAAAACTAGCAGAACATCTGAATCCTTGGGAATTATAGTGCTTTAGTGTTAAACAGAAACCTACATGAAGAACATAGGTGCTTGAGGATTTAACTTTTAAATCTGTGCCTCCAATGTGGACACTGTGCTGTTAGAACAGCAGCATGATCCATGACAAATACCAACGTACACCAAAAAGTCCACCGCCTCTAACACAAAAAGCAATCCTTATGACACACCCACAACACCACATTATATTACATTCATTCATTCCTGAAGCAACTTTAGGGATGCTACACAGAGGTTATATAAAGGTCTACGTTATAAACAGCGTGCAAGTACAAGAGAAACTTCCCCAAGAGGCCTGAGCCAAATTAATAGGTTTCAAGATACATGTTTGATTAATTTTCAGCTGTAGCAGATGGACCTTTGCCCTGACCCAGATAAATGTTTAAACAATTGAACCAGAATAGAAGAACAGCATGCAACTCTTTCCACCTGACTTCTAAAAGAACCAAGCAGTTTTAAATTTTGAAAAAGGGTACAGACAAATCTATTTTCAGGTTATAGAATTCTGAGGACATAGCTCCCCTAAGTCCTAAACAAAGCACAAAAATCCATATAAAGCAGGAGCAATTTTCAGACAATTTTAATTTTAGCTAGTTTAAACAACCTCAGAAAGCTTTTTTCTGTCAGCCTAAGTTTTTAGGCCACCACTCTTACAAAGCTTTGCTGAGACACCTAACTGTGCTAGGCATGGCAAAGGAAAGCACCCTAGGAGCCACGTCATTGTCAGAAGCCTCCTCAGATACAAAACTTACTGAACAGCAATACTGGCAATAACCCTTACTATTATACAACAAAGCTACAACAAAGCAGTGATTCTCACAATTAGAAACTGAATAAACGATTTCCAAGAATTACTAGGCAGAGAAAGAATTTAAAAGGATACCAATTATTATCTCTACATAGCAATTTAGAAACAGCTAAGTATGATACCAAAGTTATCAAAATATCAAGGTATCAAAGATACCAAAATAGTACAAAGTCTTTTGAAGCAAACTTTCAAAGTTCACCTACTGCAGCTTTGCAATGATTATATTCAGCCACAGTTACCAGATAACACACTTGCAACTAGTCAAAGAATTAAGAACTTTCATCTCTGGCTCAGTACAACCTCTCAATGCACATGTGTCAAATGAGGTTGCAAAATACCAGTAAACTAAGCTTCACAGTTATTATCTTTGACAAATTTCTCTCACCTTCTTGCTTCTCAAACTTTTTTCCATCTCAAGGTCTTTCTGGTTTTTCCTTCCTTCACCTTGCACCTCTCTCCTTACCGTTCTCATTCATCTGTGGAGTTTCCAGTAAACTAGACGTCACACTAGGGCCAATCCTTAGTAGAAATGCTACTAATGACACTTTCCTTTCCAGCACTTCAATTCACAGTGTTCATTTGGAAAACTATGTTTGACAGTCCCCATGTCCACAATATCTAACAGTTATTGAAAATAAATTAACATATATTCACATCGGTAACAATTTTAATATGATAACTATTCTAATCTTATAGGTATATATGTAAGTATATTTAAAAAAATAAGGATTTTTAAATTGATTTCATTTTCGGGTAGATTTCGAGAACACAGTGTTTTATACATAGGGAATGTGTTCTAAAGTAAAAAGGACACCAACTGAATACAGGTTCTGTATCTAAGAAAGCTCCAAATTCAAAATATAGCTAGCCATACAAGAAGCCTCTACGAAAACCTACTGCAGACTCTTTGCCTGCGCACATTGTGCCTTTACATTTTCTAAACATGCATGCTGCATTTTAACATCTGCTAAACACAGGTTCTTTAGGCTATTAAAATGTGAGATAGTTTAATGCCACAGCTATCCAAATAAGACCATTAGCACCTGTATGCATTTGAAAAAAAAATCTTGTACTGTTATTTTCACATTGTAAACAAACTTTCAGAACAGTAACAGCCGTCAGAAGGAGACAGTCAATTCAAATGCACCACAGGCTTTATTTTAAAAGTATTCAAACTGTGGAAATACTTACACTGCTTAAACTCCAACCATTTCAGTGACCTTTATGCCTCGCTTGGTGTTCACAGACTGCCTTACAAGAAAAGACCTCCAGATGCAAACATCTGGAACATAAATAATGTAACACCATTTGTAAGCAAGAACTACAACTCTCCCTCCTCAGAAACTAACAGAAATTTAAGCACCCAAATGTAGGAACTCTGCAGCACCTCTTCCAGCATATGCTAAGGAATATACACAGATGACTTGCATCACATATAATACAATCAATCAGAAAACCTGTGATAAGCATCACTACTTTCTCAATTACATTCTTTTATTAATGCTACAGTGTCACAACATAAATTGAAATAGTTATTTGCACATAATATAAAAATAAAACTCTATACAGTTTATACTGTGCTAGCAATCATGTCCTGAACTTAAAAATCAGTATTTAATATTAAATAATGCACAGAGATAGGTAAACTCAGCTAAATCAATGTAATTGCATTTTCTCTAAACTTGAAGGCAAACGTGCAATGAGCAGTTTATTACTTTACCGTATACATACTTCACACTTCAGGTGAGAGCTGTGAGCAAACTAAGTTTCACAAGTTCTCCTTCTGCTACTGTTTTCTATTCTCAAGCATAGTGGTTTTAAAACCAAATGATGAAATTAATTTTGGGTAGTAGCATTCTTAGCAGTTACAGAACAGTGTTACTAAGAAAAACAGCTAGGCACTACCATTTCCATGACACATGAAATCACTGGCAAAAAATAATTTTAAAAGGCAGCTATGAGCTTAGCTCTAATACCACAACCGATACACATTTATTCTTTAAATATGTTTGTGACAATATATTACATTGACTACCATGGCTACTATTTATTCTTCCAGAAAAGTAAAATGTAAAACAAGACCTTGACATTGTTGTGTACTCAAGAATGCCTCCTCACATTGGGGAAAAATAAGTAGGAAAAAAATCTCACATCATTCCTCAATTTTAAGGTGGAGAAAAAAACAGCTCACTTTCACGTAAGTTCTTGTACAGATCTCCAACATGCATACAGTAAAAGTCCATTAAACTGTTTTGGGGAGCTTTTAGGGGTTTTTATTAAAAAAAAAAAAAAAAAAAGGAAGTATTTCTGACAGCAGGTAAGTTCATTTTCTTTTAGTATTTTCCTATGAGGAAGGTCGAAATGTACTAAAAATGTCCAGGCAACAGTTAGGACAAAACTGCCAGTGTCTTTGGAGAGTTAAATTTACAAACAACCTTAGCAACATAGGTCAAAATGCTGTTGCCTTTAGTTACCTTCTCCACCTTAGGGCCCAAAGAGCAGAAATATTGTTAGACTGGTTCTGTACCCTTTAAGCCCAAACTTTTGCAGTGTACCAACTTTCTCCCTGTCATTTACTTCCCGAACTTTAGTGAAACACCTTCTCAGAAGGCAACTACACAGGTTATGTGTTGTCATACGCATAGTCAACTAGGCAGAAATACCTATCTCACGTTCCAGTAACACAGCCATTTCCTCTGTTTTAATTAAAATTACAATAAAAAGTTCCAATTAAAATGACAACTACAACCATGACAACTGTATAGCATATCAAAAATTGTTACTTTATCTAATCATTGGCTTCCTGCACCACAGGTAAATTTTTAACTTAAATCAATATATAAATTTTCTAAGCTGCTACCTATAATCCAAATGTAAGAATGATAAAAAATTGGGAAAAGAGTTTGGAATAACATTGTCTGTCTGGAAAACTGACAGTCTTCACTGAAGTATTTAACTCTCTACACCTTAAGGGCAGAAGAGGTCACAAGTAACTTTGGTCTTGTTCCACATGTGCTAAATCTCTAAATGACTGGTAACACTGGGATTCACAATTTTTCAGTAAAGACCTAAAATAGCCTTCTACTCCTTTTGCATGGCTGGTTAAATGATCAAGTAACACAAACAAACTTAAATCACCTTGTGAGTTTTCAGTGTTCTGTTCCAATCACAGTTACCTAAACATGTTTGTTGGAGGATAACCCAGCAGGCAGGTAAGCACCATACAGCCACTAGCTCACTTCCCCCACACCTCCCCCAATAGGGCATAGAAAGAAGAATAAAAGCAAACAAATTTATGGGTCAAGATGAAAATAGATGAACAAGCAAAGGAGAGTGCAAGAAGAAAAAAAGAAAACAAGTGATGCAAAGGCAATCATGCACCAGGTGCCCAGCCAGATCCCAAACAAAAGATGGACTACCTCCCTGAATACCCTCCTCTCCCTTTTACTGCTCAGCACGACCATTATATGGCATGCAATATCTCTGGTTAGTTCAGGTCATCTGTCTGGTTGTGTCCTCTCCCAACCTCCTGCACAGCCCCAATCTATTCACTGGGGAAACAGAGTGAGAAACAGAGAAGGCCTTGATGCTGTGCAAGCACTGTTCAGAGACAGGTAAAACATTATGTGCTGTATTCATTGTTTTGATCACAAGTCTAAAACACAGCACTATATGAGCTGCTATGAAGAAAATTAACTCCATCCCAGCCAGACCCAGTACACATGCATACGTCAAATACCAAATGATACGCGATACACAGTAGGGCAAAGAAAAGAGTTCCATGAGATTAAAAAATGCCACATGGTTTTGCTTAGTGGTTTACTCTTTTGCCTTCTGGCAGATGAAAGAAGTTGTCTTCTTTGAGTTTAAGATGTTCTGGTAAATCTAGCTGTCTTTTTGCCTCTTCAATGTCTTCCTGAATTGCTGAAGTGAGTGCCTCTGCAGAAGAGAAGAAAGAAAAGCAGTACTTAAAAGCTGGTCTGAATTCTGAACACAAAGGCAACATTCTCTGTTTCTAAAGTAACACACTTTTGACATGCATTGCCCTTCTCACTGCTGTAAACAGTTTATTTTCCTTGTTCCAAGACATTTTAACAAAAAAGTCAACAGTATTTCATTAACTGTTTTCAGTTTTAACATGGATGCATTTTTAAAAGAAATGGAGAGACTAGGCCAATGCTTTTACAAGCAGCTCATGATTTTCAACCTACTCCTCAGACAACTGACACAACAATGTAATTTTAGACTGAAATAAGTACTGATAGTCTAGAAGTTGTAGGTGTTTAATTTTTTTAGTATGACCAATTTATATATTAGTAGATTCAGCTTAAAAAAAAAACAAAACAAAAAAAACGTTTTACAGAGAACTCAAAGACATAAAATCATTGAGTATCTCAAGTTGGAAGGGACCCATGAGGATCATCGAGCAGCTCCCTGCTCCTCACAGGATTACTAAAACTAAACATGACTAAGAGGGTCATCCAGACGCTCCTTGAACTCTGCCAGGCTTGGTGCTGTGACTACTTCCCTGGGAAGCATGTTCCAGTGACCAACCACCCTCTCAGTGAAGAACCTTTTCCCAAGGTCCAACCTGAACTTCCCCTGACACAGCTTCATTCCGTTTCCTGGTATCTTGTCCGCTGGTCACCAGAGAGAGATCAGCACCTCCCCACCGCCCCTCTGTGAGGAAGTTATAGGCTGCAATGAGGTCACCCTTCAGCCTTATCTTCTCCAAGCTGAATCAACCAAGTGACCTCAGACACTCCTCATAAATCTTGCCCTTGAGGCCTTTCTTGGCCGTCATGGTTACCCTCCTCTGCACACACTCTAGTAGTCCGATGTCCTTCTGGTATTGAGGCAACCACAGCTCTAGAGTGGGACAGTCACCTCCCTCGAGTGGCTAGCGATGCTGTGCTTGATGCACCCCAGGGCACGGTTGGCCCTTTTGGCTGCCAGGGCACACTGCTGACTCATACGCAACTTGCCACCACCCCAAGCCCCCAGATGTCTTTCTGTGGGGCTGCTCTCCAAACTCTCGTCCCCCAGTTGGTACGTATAACCAGGATTGCCCTATCCCAAATGGAGAATCCTGCACTTGCTCTTGTTACATTTCATGTGGTTGGCGACTGCCCAGCTCTCTAGTCTATCCAGATCTCTCTGTAAGGCCTCTCTGCCCTTGAGAAAGAGCTACATGAAACAGCTGACTACGAGAAACAGCTACCCCACATGAAACAGCTGATTGTGAAGACAGAGGACAATGACACGGTACTTTAAATATGCAAGAACATGACAAATATTAGTTTAAGAGACCTGCAATACTGACCTAAAGAACTGAAGGTTTTTTCTGATCTAATATATCCAATAATAACTATACTAAGAATCTCTCCATAAAAGTCATCTTTGAAAGTGTGGATAACATGTGTTTCCTGAAAGAAGAAAAATACATTGACAATTACCATGACACATTTTGAGTTTCTTTCTTTGTTGCAAGAATGTTCAGCTAATACGCCTAATTCAATTTCTCTCCCCCACACACAAGGAAAACTGAGACACTTAGTCTAATGTGCAACGCAAGATTAAGAAGCTAGAGCTTTTGCTTATGTTAGTAGGGAGAACTACACTTTACTTGGCATTTAAGAACATTAAGATATTTATGTCAGAGGTAAGATTTTCAAGGCAGCAAATCACAAATAACACCTAGATTTACTTGATCATTAAGCTGCTGAGTCCAAGTAACTGTAATGAATTTGATTGAAACAGTTCTTTTAAAGAGAGCTTTTACAAGTAACTCACAGGAACTGAATTCTAAAAAGAGCGAAGGCAGCTATCTTCAAAGGAGGGATGCATGTCAAAATAAAACTGCTTCCAAGCATTAGCAATTAAAACCAAGTCCTGCAAGACTCAGGAAAAGCACCAGCACCTGATAGCAAGAAAAACAGACACCACAGTTCAGGATTTTAACTCTGTCCTGTTACTATTTAGTTTTGGATCTTGATTCTGTATATTAAGCCACAGCACCACAGGTATGGACTTCACCATTTAAGAGGAGAATTACTGGAAAATCAGTACAAATTAAGATGCCCCACAATCTCGTACTTTAAATGCGGATGGACTGCAAAGGATGAGAGATTAGTATGTCCCAGCTCACTCTAGCGGTCTCGTAACCACTAAACTGCGTACATCATTAAGCATCATGATAAGCAACAGCCACTTTGGAAATATGAATTTTGATTTCAGAAATATTTAAGTAATGGTGGAAGGAGCAAATGAAAATAAAATTTATTTATCTACAGCTGCATGCTCTATGGCTACTGAGGGTTTTAGGGGACTTGGTTTTTTTCCTCCTCGGAATACAAACATTGAGATGGATACCAAATACATTTCTAATCTCATTTATGGATCAAATTCTGCTTATCTTATTTAAAGTCCATGTCTGGCTCATTTATTATAACCAAAGTACCACACAAAGCAAAATTCTTACCACTGATTTCTTAATATTCTTATAGAAAGGATTCCATCCTATGCTCAAAACCATTTTATGCACATCTCCATTTCCAACACACGCCCATCCATAGTATATACCGGTAGAGATATCGGATGGAAAGCTTTCGACCACTTGCTCAGAAAAGTTAGCTGCAAAAGTTTTAGAGAGTGTACAGTTGTGTAAGTAAAGTGCATCACAGAATTTTTAAACACCTAAAAGCCAAGCGCTGCCTACATGCCATTTACGAGCAGAACACTGATGACAACAGTGATACAACGTGCCACTTGCGAAGCATAAACCAGAAAACAGCCTCATAACATGTAGTCTCTGTGGTAATGCCAGAGTTACCGTGTCCCCTACACACACTATTTCATAGTTATAGACATATTATCCTATTCTACAGTTAACTCTATAGTTAAAATTAATAAACTAACATACGCAGTCTGAATGCATTTCACTATTAGGACTACTACTGCTTTAGTATGGTCAAAGAACAGAAAAATCAAGTTTCTTTGGCACTGTAAAGTAGCATCTTCAAATTACTTAAGCATTAGTTTTTTTGGTTTTTTAGTAAGTAAAATGTTAAAAGAAATGAAGTTATGATTTTAGTCACCTGTCAATTTTTTCACATTGCTTTTCAGGTTATTCCTATTGGGGATTTCTAGGGTTTTCTTAGAAAATTACAAGTCTGAAATAAAAGAGGCTCTTTTCTGACTGAGGGGAATAAATCCAAACCTTTAGTCAAACAACTGTCCTACTTTAATGGTACATGTGGGTAGACCTTTTCGTGCAAGGTTTCAAGCCGATTTTAAAGAATTTACAGTTACTGAATTTCCATCCTAGTTCATAAGGAGAAAAAACCTTCCCTCCCACATTCCCTGATACTAATAAGCCATATATAAATAATCGAGAGAAAAAAAAAAAAAAAAAACAACACATAGAAACAGAAATACAGAAAGTTTCTATTAACAGATGGTGTCATATGTCCAGCACCTCACGATTTGTTATAGGTTTTCTTGCCTATTAGGATTCGTGCAAAATGCCTTCTGAATTCTATCTTTAGAAAAAACTGAAACCTGTCTAAATTACACTTTTCTCTGAACAAGCCAAACAGGGAACAGCAATGGGAAAACACACCTCTCTCTAGGACAACTGCACTTGCTCTGCCTTTTAATCTCTGCATTACTCCCTTTACATTTCCTTCCCTAAAGCCACTCCCGGCGCCCGCTCCGTCCCTTGCCCTCATCTGATGCCCAGCAAGTTTGCCAGAGCGGCCGTTTGTCAATCTGCCGTATCGCACCACCGCGCCCAGCGCGTCTCATGACTCTTCAGCGTCTTGCAAACCGTCACGATTATCAGCAGAGTTAAAAAAAAAAAAAAAAAAAAGCCAAGAGGAAGAAACCGTTTAACGGAAGGTCGGAAAATGACACAGGTGAGCGAACAAAGCTGTAAGCAATAGGAATAAATAAATAAATAAATAAATAAAATAACCAAAAAACCTGACACGGAACGAGCGAGGTCTCTTTGCAGAACGAGCAA